GTTCGCGGTACCGGCGAATTCTGTTTACCGTTAAAAGAGAAATTTGGGACTGATCAAAAGAATTGGTATTCATCCCGTACGACACGCCCGGCCACCAAGCCGATTTGCACGAAGACGTCGCCGAGCCGTCGCTCCCTTCTCGTGGCTGAAGACAACGCTCGCGCAAACGTCAAGCACGACGTGTCTACTTCGAGTTGAATATGCACGCGTACGATTTCTTTACTAGGTGCGAACGTCCCCAAAGCGGGGTGCTTCCCGACTTCGACCCGGGAGTGCTTTTGCTAGAGAAAAATCGACAGCAAACTTTCCAACTTACAGTTTACCGGCTGAATTATTACTAAGGAAAGAGAGCCACCAGAAAAGAGATGCTCCAGTAGTTCAGTGGGAAGGACGTCCGCTTCACACGCGGTAGGACCGAATTCGATCCCCCGTGAAACTTTTTTTTTTCAAACATTTTCCGATATTTACATATTTTTTCTTTTTTTTACAATCATCACTGAAGAAAAACAAAAAAATAACAAACAAATGTTGTGGACGATACTTCGCAGAATTGAATGGTATGGGATTCCCGTTTTGACACGTGCGAACTCAATGTAATCACTTTCCACAAAATGCAAGGAGCATATAAATCAGGTAGCGTCCGCTTTCCGAGGTGCCCGTAAATGTTCTACAGGAATTGCGGCCAGCCATTGGTCCCGATCCCGTTGATCTTTCGGAAACTCTGTCGCACAATGCCACTTTTTTTCGGATGCAGGACATGTGAGCCAGCTCTTCACGCAACATGTTGGGTGTATACTTCTCGGAGCCGATCATGGAAATTCACCACGGGCACTCACTACTCATCTCCAACTCCTCAATGTACAAAACAACTCATCTTGGAGTACAGAACAACGAACGGAACAAACATAACTGCAAAATAATCGCACGGCGAGCAGTTCCCGCACGCCGCATCGCACGCCGCATGTCATGTCGTCTGCTACCGGAGAGGAGAAAAAAAAAAAAAAACGCACGGTCGGGTGTAGCCACGTGACTTCCGCCACTCACTCTCTTCTCTCCACTTCTCCGACCTCGTCGGGTTTCGGTTTCGGTTTTGAGCAGTTGCGTCTTTTGGCTTTATTAAAAAAATACGCTACTCTGTTGCAAAATATTAATTGGGTAGTCCTCCGACACCATAATAAAGCGCCTGGAAAAAAATAAAAAAAATTTTTTTGGGACCGCGGATGTATCACAGTGAAAAGGCAGAGAGGTTGCGAAGGGGAGGAGGTACGAAATAGTCCGCTCTGTTTTCAAATTTTCGCACTGAAAGTCCGGCTTTTGACTTTCTACCTTTTTTCTTTTAGTCCACTGAACGATGTGCTATTAGTAAAATACCAATCTAAAATGATTTATCCCAACCCAAAAATCGCTTCATGGGCCCTTTAACTCCTTAACTCTTTTTTTTTTTTTTCGCGTTCCACCCACTGAAAAACATGCGGGAAGGACCTCAGCTGCCTCAGCACGCACCTCGTATCGCGTACAGAAAGTGTAAAGTTACCGTAGCGAGCTGAGTGGGTAAGTAATGTAATTAAAATAGCCACCCTAGGAAATTGAATTACGTTACTTAATCACGCACGCCAAAAAATGCTGAATAGCGTTGAATTACATTGTTTATATTTATTACGGACAAACAGTAAATGATTATTCGGCTTAGAAACACTCAATATCGAGGGTAGGAGAACGGCGCGTCGTGACATGAAATGTCTATTAGCCTAATGTCAGCACCCTAAAGCGTACACGTGAAAGCCCCGTATCAAATCGTTGTGCGTTACCTATAGTATTAGTAACAAACTAGCAAAATTTCCCTAATTCCCACGTAGACCTGAATATTACCTTAATCTGGTAAATTTCCCTCAAACTGGCAGCAGTGCCTCCGAGAACCCGTAGCGCGCGCGCGCGTGGGCTTCTCCGGCCGTTTTAATCGTTCGCGCGCTTCAGGATCTCGGAGGTCATGGTGATTGCACTAACTCCGTCGCTCGCCGCGAGGTGGCGACGTACTCCTCTACTTCGTAGGGAGCCTTCATACGCGCACACGGCACGCCTGTGCGTGTGTATGAAGGCTCCCTATACTACTTCGTCTCCCTAAAACCGTGCAGTACCAACGGTACCGACACCTTCTAGAAATAAGGCCGTAGCGCTCTTCTCATGGGCGTACCAACCCGGGGGGGGGGGGGGGGGGGGGCAAGGGGGGCGCTTGTTCCTTCAGTTCTCAAAGTTGGGGGGCAAGGCATGCGTTTTGCCCCCCCCCCCCCCCCTGAAACAGCCGCCACTGGGCACGGCAAACACTGGCTGGTGGCGCCCAAGGGATACCAAGGGCACCGCCCCCGGGCCCTGGGAGGGGGGGGGGGGGGGGGGGTCCGGTTTGCCCCCCCCCCCCCCCCCCATACTCAAAAACAAGTTGGTACGCTACTGGCTCTTCTCGTGACGTCGCAAAGGAAGGTCATCGGGGGCGCGCGTCGAAGCGAAGGCAACGCGCGTGGATCGACCGTCGTAACACGCTTTTAGTCACATACGCGTGTCCTATTAGCTAAAATGAAAGCTGCACTTAGCAACGGGTCTAGAAAACACTATATTACACTGGCGAAATATTACACCGCTAAGTAAACGGTACGAATTGGCACGAGGTATGCGTATAAGACGTTTAAGTCGAAAACATTGAGTCACGCAATTGTTGCTGTAGGAATGCATATTTTATGCAGAAATACCTTGACAAAATGGCGAGACTCGCAGTGATTGGACACTGCAAAACAGATCACAGTAAAAATCAGGTAGACGTAGTCAACGCGTGCAGCCACTGAATTCTTGCATTGGCCACATGGCAAAATTAATGTAATTTCGATCGAATGACATTATAGGGTCGACAAATCAGCTTGTGACGCTCGTATAATCACTCAAGACTGCGAGCTGATTAAATCCCATATCATTTAATAAAAATACAGGGTGTCACAAAAAACATTACAAGGTTTTTATTACCGTAAAAATAAACTAGGCATCGCCGAACGCTCATTCTCCGTCCAAAGGTGGCGCTAGAGGTCACAACCAAATGTCAGAGTTTCAGCCCCATCCGACACCTTATTCAAAAGTTAAAAGTTATAAGTACTTTTCTGAAAATTTCAATGGAAAAATGGAGCACATTTTTGCCCGTTTTCGGTTTCTGGTGCCATAGAGCCCCATGTATTCAAAAACTCTGTCGGCCGCCATTTGCCCATTGAAAAGTTTAGAAAATCACATAACTTTTGAATAAGGTATCGGATCGGGCTGAAACTTTGGCATCTGGTTGTGATCTTTAGCGCTACCTTTGCGCGGAGAATGAGCGTTCGGCGATGCCTGATTAACTTTGCGGCAAAAAAAAAAAAAAAAAAACTTAATTTTTTTTTTTTTTTGGCACCCTGTATATTATCTTTTCCGTGTGGCAGGGGTACTAAACTTACTATTTACAGTCAACTAATTTACTTCTCCCCAAGGCCTCGAGCTGCCTTAGAAGAAAATATAACTTATTTTGTATATATACAATAATACTATTAAATTAATACAGTTAAGATTCTAGTATAAACGCAGTAAAGGCAATAAAATAGTATTAGTATAAATAAACACATAAGCACAAACAACGCACTTTCAATAATCACACAAACTTGTTATTCACCTTCCAGTAAAAACTAGAATATCACCACGCATATTTACGAATGTCGACGCAATAGCGCACGAAAAACGACGAAGAACAAGATTTCCTTCTATCACGAGATTAAAAAAAAATTGACTACAGCATTTTATTTGCGTCCTAAGCGAGTAAAGTGCTACGGCCCTCTCTTCTAGAAATGCACCAAGACCTTCTAGAAGAGAAGGCTGTAGCGCTCCGAGTGGTGACGTCGCAATGTCGGAGAAGGAAGGCCATGGCGCAACTCCGTGAGAAAATATCTTGTATCGACTTGAAAAAATGTTTCTTGTCGAGCTGCGCGGTGGTGTTCGTGCGCGTTTATCTGACATTAATATACGTTTTAAAAGTGCAGTCTTGTGCAATTTATTATACAGGGTGTTTCAGAGAGCGCAGGCCAAATCGCTCCTGCGAAAACTACTCATCGCAACGAAAAAAGGCTTGTGGCATTTTAGTCCTGGGCCAGGGGCCCATTTAGGAAAATTATTAGAATCCGGGATAATTAAGTTGTTAATTATCATTACTTATTAATTATCATTAATCATTACAAAGTTTGGTTGGAGATACATTTGAGGAGTACATATTATACACAAAGTGCACTGCTAGTCTTTGAATTCGATCAAGTTCTGAAATACAAGATAAGGCATGTGGATCCCAAATGACGCTTCCATATTCTAGCACTGGCCGATGCTTTTCAGCAGCTGTTCATGGGCGCCGCCATGAACGACCTTCAGTTTTTGTTTTCTTTTATTTTGAACACTTCCCTCGATCATCTCCCCAGCAGGACAGGTTATTGCCATTTTAGATCCGACTGTGTCCTTCTCCCCAGCAATGGCCTTTGTGGAGGCTCCTCAAAGCGCGCTTCAGTGGCTTGGTATCTCGGTAAGACAAGAGAAGGTCAGTAATGGCGGCTGCAATATGGCTCGTGTGCAAAGCGTCTATACAGTATTAGCCGCTAGATGTTTTGGTGGCGCCCTCCTATGGTGTCCTCTCGTGACGTCATTACCTCGCGGACAACAAGTTTGGTGGTGTTTGTAATTAGCATGATGGAAGCTGGGAATCATTCCGCTCTGAAAGCAACACCGCCAACACCGTCAATATTCAAGTTCTCACATTCCTCTTATTTCCGTCGATGGGAAATCCTTTGCTGACGTCATGTCAGCATTCGGCCAATCGTGGCAGGCCGACCAGGGGGGCTAAGTTGCGCTTTTTGGACTCCCAGGAGACTAGGGAGAAGGAAGTGACGTCAACGACTAGAGCAAACGCAGATTGGGAGAAGGAAGTGACGTCAACGACTAGAGCAGACGCAACGTCCTTCAAGAACTACGCCGATGACAGCGAGCTCCCGTGTGTTTTGGCGGCCGCTGGAACATTTCCGCCGGTGTTATCTACAACTTTGTATGAAGCACCATCGTCATCGACAGGGGCAAAGTTTTCCTGCACCGCCCCTTTCGTCGTCGTACTCAGTGGGCGAGACAGCACTGCAACGATGCGGCCACGGCTAAACCAGCTCTTGTTTGCTATCCAGGTCCTTGCATCCTGGACTGTGTGGCCCGTCAACGAATGCGGGGAATCATCATGTGACAGTCATCGCATTTTCAACGCAACGTCCTTCAAGAACTACGCCGATGACAGCGAGCTCCCGTGTGTTTTGGCGGCCGCTGGAACATTTCCGCCGGTGTTATCTACAACTTTGTATGAAGCACCATCGTCATCGACAGGGGCAAAGTTTTCCTGCACCGCCCCTTTCGTCGTCGTACTCAGTGGGCGAGACAGCACTGCAACGATGCGGCCACGGCTAAACCAGCTCTTGTTTGCTATCCAGGTCCTTGCATCCTGGACTGTGTGGCCCGTCAACGAATGCGGGGAATCATCATGTGACAGTCATCGCATTTTCAACGCAACGTCCTTCAAGAACTACGCCGATGACAGCGAGCTCCCGTGTGTTTTGGCGGCCGCTGGAACATTTCCGCCGGTGTTATCTACAACTTTGTATGAAGCACCATCGTCATCGACAGGGGCAAAGTTTTCCTGCACCGCCCCTTTCGTCGTCGTACTCAGTGGGCGAGACAGCACTGCAACGATGCGGCCACGGCTAAACCAGCTCTTGTTTGCTATCCAGGTTGGTAAAACTCCTTCCTTTACTAGTGTGAAAAGCAATTATGTCTGTCTTGTAGTGCTGCCTCGCCCAGGAGCTTTATTGGAGTGTGTTGCCGCCTGTTTTGATTCACTCTGCTTCCTCGTTCTTCTTTTGAGCGGGGATGTGGAACTCAACCCTGGCCCGCTGACGGAAGTTCAGTTGGCAGCGATTCTTGATGGCCAGAGGACGCTAAACAACAGCATATCAGAAATTAAAAGTAAACTTGACGAACACATTAGACAAACAGAATCAAGGCTATCCTCAATAGAAACTAAAGTTGAGTGTCTCTCAAAATTAGAGCCTGACCTTAAGAGATGCGAGAATTATGTCCAGCATTTAGGAAGAAACGTCACTGCAATGGCTGCAAGGGTTGACGCCCTTGAAAACCGGAGCCGGCATAACAACCTCATTATTTACGGTGTGGCGGAAGACTCTACTGAATCACCCGTTTCGTTGAACCAGAAAGTGGTTACCGAAATTTTTGACAAGAAGCTAGGCGTGAAGGTATCAACGATAGAAAAAATACACAGGCTCGGAAGGCATCTGGACAATAAAACACGACCAATATTAATACGCTTTTCTTCTCTAGACGAAAAAGCTGCACTTTTGAAGAACGCGTTTAAATTAAAGGGTACAACGGTGTCTCTGTCGAACGACTACTCAATAGAAGTAAGAGAAAAGCGCCGCCATCTTTGGACATACGCAAAAGCTAGAAGGGAAGAAGGTATCAGCAAAGTAAATCTAACGAACGATAAGCTTGTAATTAATGGGAAAATGTTTACTTGGAACAGTGAAAGAGAGGAGGTTGTACCTGTGCAACGTAACTGACGTCAAACGAATTCAAAGAAAGCGGTGCAAAAGGATATCACTGTGATGGTCGTGAATTGCAGAAGCGTAAAAAATAAAGTAGAAGAATTATCGGGTTTAATCCTATCTGTTCAAGCCGATATCATTCTCGGCACTGAATCATGGCTTGACGACTCTATCTTAGATCATGAAGTATTCCCTAGATGCTTTAACGTCTACAGAAAGGATAGGTCGTTACACGGGGGAGGGGTTTTTCTGTTGGTTAACAATAATTTGCAAAGCCACCAACTCGATCTAGCTGAAAACATAGAATCCGTATGGTGTCGGGTCAGGCTGCCCAATAACCTATGTTTTACCGTAGGAGTTTTCTACAGGCCTCCAAATTCTGATTCTACTTGTATAGACACCCTAAACGAAATAGTTTCTAGTGTTACCAATGAATGTGTGGTACTTGGTGGCGATTTTAATCTGCCAGACTTGACATGGAGCGATGACGGGTGTGCCTGTAAAACAATGACTCGACTTAATATTGATATGAAGTGCATGGTTGATAGTCTAGGTTTTACCCAGCATGTACTTGTACCTACGCGCGGACACAACATACTCGACTTGTTGTTGTGCAATCATCCCGACATTGTTAAACGAATCGATGTCATACCGAGCATAAGCGACCATAACGCTGTAGTTGCGACGCTTCGTTTTCAATCTGCACGTGTAAAGTTGAGTTCAGATCGAAAGGTGTTTTTGTATGAAAAGGGAAATTATGAAGGCATTAGCTCTGAGCTTTCTAGCGGCTTTCTTTCGTTTGAATGCGTTGCCGAAGAAACAGATGTGCACAACACGTGGTTACTGTTCAGGCAGAGAGTGATAAAGCTAACAGAGAAATACATACCATGTATTGATGCATCCAAATTAAAAAATAGAGCCAAACCATGGATCAACGGAAGTGTTCTACGATTAACAAAAAAACGAAAGCGTGCTTACGCACGGTACAAAAAGAAAAAGTCAGCAGTAAACCATGGGAAACTGAAAGAACTGACGACAAAGTACAAAGTCACCGTGAGGAAAGCAAAAGGCGATTAACTACAGCGGCTCGAAGACGGAATGAAAAATAACAATAAACAGTTCTGGAAGTTTATGAAACGTTGCGGAAATGACCAGATGGGAATACCTGACCTGTTAGTAAATAACGAACTAATTACAGATGCCCGTCAAAAAGCTTGCATCTTTAATGAATATTTTCAATCGGTCTTTTTGCCTGCGAACAATATAACGCCAGTAACGCTTACAAACAGATACGATGATATGCCTCCAGTTGAGGTTGGTGTCGAGGGAGTCCGAAAGCTACTAAAAAATTTAGACGAAACTAAAGCGATTGGCCCTGACACGGCCGCTGGATCTTCTTTCTGCGCGAGCGCGCGGAAAGAAGATCCAGCGGCCGTGGCCCTGATCAAATTTCGCCTAGGGTTCTGAAGCGCTGTGCTCACGCCATTGCCCCATATCTTTTTATAATCTTCAACCAGTCTTTGCTTGAGGGGTCATTACCGAATGATTGGAAAGTAGCTCATGTAATACCAATACACAAGAAGGGACCCAAAAAAGATGTTACAAATTACAGGCCGATTTCTTTAACATCAATTTGTTGCAAACTACTTGAGCACATTTTGTACAGCCAGATAATGCAACATCTTAGTTACCATAATTTTTTCATAGATTCACAACATGGATTTAGGAGAGGTTATTCTTGTGTCACGCAACTAACCGAGCTCTATCATGATCTTGTCATGTCCGTAGATAAGGGTGAACAGACTGATTGTGTTTTTCTTGATTATAGGAAAGCGTTTGACACAGTGTCGCACTCCTTCTTACTTCACAAATTGAATTGTTTGAGCATAGATATTACCACACTAAAATGGATTCAGTCATACCTGAGTTCGCGTCAGCAATGTGTAATTTTAAACGGCGAGGCGTCTCATTTTGTTGAAGTTACGTCTGGTGTACCACAGGGGTCGGTTCTGGGGCCATTGTTATTCTTAATATTTATCAATGATATTCATGTCAATGTAACTTCCCAGCTGAGATTATTTGCTGATGATTGCGCTGTGTATACGCGTATAAAGAACGGGGAGGGTTCCGGACAACTGCAGGCTGACCTAGATCGAATAGAACAATGGTGCGGTGAATGGGGGATGCAACTTAACGTAAAGAAATGTGTTCATGTTAGCTTCACACGTAAAAAAAATAAATTTGACACACAGTATTATTTAAGCAATGAGCTAGTAACGAATGAGAATAAAGTAAAATACCTCGGAGTCATTTTGTCATCCGACTGCACGTGGGATTCGCAAATTGATGATGTCAGTATGAGGGCGGGTCGCGCACTGGGCTTTGTCCAAAGAAACCTAAAAAACGCTACACAAAAAATAAAAGAACTAGCATATCTTGCCTATGTAAGGCCACTTCTAGATTACGCATGCACTGTGTGGGACCCTTCCAAAAAAAATCGCATTGATGGCTTGGAAAAAATACAAAATCGTGCCGCACGCTTCGTCCTGGGCCAGTACGACCGTTTTTCTAGTGTAACTAACATGAAACAATCACTAGGATGGGCGTCATTGGATCTTCGGCGAAAAAATTTACGGTTGAAATTTTTATACAACATTTATCATGAAGCTACTGGTATTAATAGCTCATCATACCTCTTAAAACCAAATTATTTTTCTAAACGTAATGATCATGTGCACAAGACACGCGAATACTGTACTAGGACGGAGCTCTGCAAAAATTCGTTTTTTGTGAGGACGGTCAAGGACTGGAACGCTTTACAGGAATGTATAGTTTGTGCTGCAAATGTTGATATGTTCTTTTCGTTATTATTCGCCCCCTGCAATAATGCCTTCTAGGCGCTGCAGGAGTTCCCTGAATAAAGAATAAAGAATTGGATGTTGACAGAAGAAAACGAAATCAACATCCAATCTGCGTTTGCTGTGTCGTTGACGTCACTTCCTTCTTCCTAGTCTCCTGGGAATCCAAAAAGCGCAACAGAGCACCCCAGGATAGCTAGGTTCGACATTGTACATGTACCTTTTTTTAGTACACGGAAGTGACGTCATCACGTCTGATTGGTTGGAAACAAAAGTGACGTAATTTCCCTAGAAAAATGTGGGCGGAGTCGGCAAAACTGGGCGGAGTCGGCTACCGGACGTGACAACAAAATGACGTTTCGTTTTGTACCGAGTACGTTTCAAAAGGTACTTGCTCGGAACTAGGTGTCATTGGCAGCATGTTTTCGGCGGCGAGGTGTCGCCGTCTCGTCACTTCGACTTTTTCTTTAATAGAGCTTTTTTTTCGCCAGAAAGGCTGTATCGGGAACACCGCGATGCATTCGAGCTCCCGGAGGAGATCTTTCGGAAGCAATACCGCCTGCCCAAGATCGTGGTGCGGTGGTTGTGCGACGAACTTCGCGAGGAACCGGAGGTGAGGAGAGTGCGTACCACGTCATGACTGTGGAGCTTCAAGTGTTGTGTGCACTGCGCTTCTACGGCAAGGGGAGCTTCCAAGGCATGGTGGCGAGCGACGAACACGTAGCGCGGGACCAAAAGGCAGTCAGCGTTGCGGTCCGCGCCGTGTCCGTCGCTATCGTGCGTCGTCTCGGGGTCCAGCGTGGCTGAATCCACTTCCCCGAGACGCCGAGCGAGAGGTTCGACGCGGAGAAGGGCTTCAGGCTGCTCGGCAGGATACCCGGCGTCATCGGTTGCGTGGACGGGACCATGGTCTCCATCGTCGGCCCGTCCAAGAACGACCCCACAGTCACGAAGGCGGCGTACTGGTGCCGCAAGTACTTCTACGCCCTCAACGTGATGGTGGTAAGTACACTCATGTTACGTTGTCAAAACGCGCCCCAAATCTGTAGAAAAAAAAAACGTATTGCCGATACGGTTTAAGTATGCCGTTTTATGACTGTGGGCTGTGTGGTCTCACGACTGCGCGAGCGTGTGCTCTACGTAGCATGTGAGCCGTGAGACTCTTCTCCCAAAAATAATACTTGTCTGCTAAAACGTGCAAGCTTCCGTAAAAAAAAAAACACATCCTTTTTGTTTCAATGTAGTTAGTTGTACCTTGCATCCAGGAAGGTGTGTTGACATGCATGTGTCAGACAAAATAACTTAAAAGGTTCTGAAATTGCGACTGCTTTGTGAACCATAAGTACAATCTACTACTTGTGGATTCAGGTAATTACATGTCAATATCTCTCTCACTTTCAGGTGTGTGACGCCGACTGCCGGATAATGTGCATCGACCCACGGTATCCCGGGTCGGTGCACGACTCCTTTGTGTGGCGATTTTCCTGGCTCCGAAACCAACTCGAGCAAGGGCAGGTGCCACGCGACGGCCGGTTCCTGCTTGGTGAGCATACTAAATTCATTCTTTACGCACACGGTGGCTCCCACTGCTTGAAAGCCACAGTACCACACATACTGTGCTTGTTGTGAGGCACACAGACACATTTGCTGGAACTCCTTGAAGTGAGACAACACCCAAAGTTTGGCCATTAATCTCTGTTTATGTCCACATAACTCTCACACTCTGCAGGCTACGTAAGCCACACTACACCAATCTCACGACAGTGATAGACTATGCAAGGCATGCGACCGCAGTGCCAGTCGCTGTCCGGTTCGGCCCACTCACTGTTATTGTCTGCCTGTACCCTCTTGCTGGTTGGTTTTTGCATGAAGTTGGAGCTCTTTCACTGATACCTGGGGGCTCGCCTGGTCGCTTTGACGGTCGTCAGTTTGTACGGAATGGCATCAATTCCTCCTTGGCCACTTGGGGCTCGCCAAATCTGTCCTCGGGTCGTCTCTGTCCCACACACTGGATTCTTTTCCCTGACCCTTCTTCTTCGGACTGCTTATATAGCTCCTCCTATTAGACCCTCCGTGTCCCAACATGACCTGACTCCTTTCCAATCTAACCACCCCCTCTCTTTTCCCCATCTCCAACTCCACCGAGGATTAGGAAAGAGGTTCGTCGAACTGGCGCCTTATCCCCTTGCTTGCCAAAGACAAGGCCAGCGTGTTCTGCTCTGCCCGTGCCTAAGGTCACGGCCACACTCCCAAAAGCAACAGAGCTTTTATCTGTCGGATGCAAGGGCCTAATAATGCACTTGCATACAACACAGCACCCCTAAGGAATCGTGCACACATCCCATACAACCCACCAGGAAAACACATAGTTACATGAAATAACAGGGAGTTTGCAGGCAAGCTGGTGCTAATTAATCATAATGTAAACTGATACTGTAGTGCAGAAATATTAACACACTTTTAAGTCCCACTTAAGTTACATTATAATTTACATAGTTGCACACAGCTGTTTTCTTGCCTTTTATTTTAAAAAGTAAAGAATGTAATATGTTCCATCCTCTACATGTGCAGGTGACAGCGGCTACCCCTTGGAGCCTTGGCTCATCACCCCTGTCCCCGGGAACCACGCGACCTCCACCGCTTGCGGCCGGTTTAATAAGGCGCATTCCTCGATCGGGTCTGTTGTGGAGCGCTGCATCGGGCTGTTGAAAAACAGATTCCGGTGTCTGCAAAGGCACCGGGCTCTGTATTACCACCCTTCAACAGCCACCGCCATTATTTCGGCATGTGCAGTGCTCCACAACA